AAGCTTATGGAAAGATAGAATTAAAAGATAATATGAATCTTTCCATGAACTTTAAAAAAAAATTATTTATTAGTATTATTATTTTTACATTCTAGGATATTGTTGCAGAGCAGTTGGGGAGGAAGGGGAGAGGGGAAGGGGGAGGGGAAGGGGGACAGAATGGGAGGAAGAGAAGGGAGGGGGGCACGATCAAGGCCTGTGGCACCCCCCTCATTCAGGCAGGGAAGCCCCAAAGCCTTCTGGTGCTGGCTTGGTTGTCAACACTGGGCTGGATGCTGATATCAGAGGGGTGTGGCTGAGGCCCTCGGCTTTCCCCCAACCCCAACCTGGAAGTCCTGGGGACTTCTGGTCCTTTTAGTTTATAAGTATTCTTTGGTGGTGTTATATCTTTACTGGTTAATATTAAAACTTTGTTTCTAATCTTTAGGGTTTTTATTTTTTCTTTCAGTTCTGTGTTGATTATTCACCATTCCCACCTCTCAGACCCTGCACCAGAACTAATTTGTTGTCCTTTGCTTACTTCTAAAATGGGGGAATTTTCTGTGGGGACCAGCACTTGAGTCCTGTGGTTGAGCTGAATTGCTGCTTTGCTGCTGATTCTCTGGGAAAGGCTTTTTAAATTGTTGACCTTCTAAGCAATTCGGGGTCTTGTGAGGTTCAGTACACTTGGGTTGTGTGGAAACTCTGGTCTGGGCCTGAGACTTTTCAGCAAACTGCACCCCCTGCAGTTCTATATTCCTGAAAGGTCTCCACTGAGTGGGCCTGTGCTGACTGGAGGACAGATGAGCTATCCATGCTGTGCACCAGTGTTCTCTGGGTGAGCCCATATCCCCTACCGCCTGCACCCCAAACACTTCCCAGGGGTGGGCCGTGTGCTGGTCCCTTGCAATGACCCACCAGCTTCTGCATGGCTCCTTTTTCAAGTTGTCTGTAGCCCCTCGCTCCTGTGTGGGTCCATGGGAACCCTGTTAGTGGTCTCACTGGCCTGGGGGCCACCAAGTCCCTCTTCTCCCCTGACACATCCAAGCAACTTCATACAAATGGCACAGGTGTGGCTTCTGCCAGCTCTTGCTCTGTGTGCTCACCAGGGCCAGCCTTGAAATAGCTGCAGCTCGAGGCAGTCAGAGTGGTCCTTTCTCTCATTGTGGCTGCTTCTGCCTTTGTGCACTCTGTAGGTCTCTCCACCTCTTCCGTTGAGCTCTAGTGGCCCCAGCTTGGCAGTTGTTGCTTTTTAATAGTCGTAAATTGGTTGGTTGTGGGAGAGGGCGATGCTGGGTACGGTCTATTCCTCCCTCTCGATCCCTTCTCCCTCTGTGAACTTTTTGAAGAGCCCTCATATTCCTGTCAAATTTAAATAATTTTAAAAACCCATCATTTATTGAGTGCCTCCTTGTAGGTTTATACATTATGAACTTTGATCATCCCAACAATTATATGAAGTGGATACTATTGTCACTGTCATTTTGAAACTGAGAAAATTGGAGAACAGAGAGGTTAAGTAATTTGTTTAAGGATGCTTAGCTTTTTTTTATTTTTTTTTTATTTTTTATTTTTTATTTTTTTTTGTCTTTTTGTTCCGTGTCCGGCAACGGATCGCAACCCTCAGTGTTGCCCCCGTACCGGACCAGGGACCGGCAACGGGATTGCAAACCTCGGTGTTGCTCCCACGCCTCGCTCAGCCAGTGAGCGGGAGCCGGTCTGTATGTGGGATCCGAACCCTCGGGCGGCAGCGCTGCCGCGCCTCCTAAGCGGCGCACTATCCAGTGCGCCACTGGGCCGGCCCTTTCATTGCTTTTTATTGTCTAATAGTGTTTCACTGTATGGATATACCACATTTTATACATTTTAAATTTTGCTTTTTAAATATAATACTTCTGAGAGACTCCTGCTTTTGGGGATATGGAGTAGACAGTAGTGATTTCCTAGTTTTTTGCCTCGTACATCCCAAGCTAAAGAAGCCAGCTACCCAGAAGCATCATCAC